ATGGATCAAAGACCTCAATGTGAAACTGGAAACCCTGAAACTATTAGAAGAAAATAGTGGCAGTAACTTACAAGATATGGGTGTAGGAAAGGATTTTCTAAATTGGACAGAAGTTGCTTAGGAATTAAGGTCAGCAACAGGTAAGTTCAGATAGGACCTTATCCAGTTGATATCTCCTAATAATTTCTGGAAATCGTTCAGGGTTTTTAGGTTATCTTTTCTGATAGTTAGTTTTTGAGGTTTAATATGGTTAGGAAATATTGTGGACCCAAGAAAATTCGCCACCTCTCCTTCTTGTACCTTTTCAGGCGCTATTAGCAAACCCTTGGCCTGTAGATGGACGGACAGATCCGCAAATGCCTGATGTAAACTGTCCAAGTTGGCATGACAGAGCAAGATGTCATCCATGTAATGACAAATCCTCAAGGACTTATGCTTATCCCTGACCGGCTGAATAGCCGCTGCCACATAAAGCTGACACATAGTGGGACTGTTTGCCATGCCCTGAGGCAGAACTTTCCATTGGAATCGTTTATCTGGTTCCTCATGGTTTATGCTGGGCAAAGTAAAGGCAAACCTTTCTCTGTCTTGAATAGCTAAAGGAATGGAGAAAAAGCAATCTTTGATATCAATTATAATAATATGCCAATGAGAGGGCAGCGCTGACAGTAAAGGTAGACCTCGTTGTATCGGACCCATTATCTGCATCTGATTATTGATAGCCCTGAGGTCATGCAACAACCTCCATTTCCCTGATTTTTTCTTGATTACAAAGATGGGTGTATTCCATGGAGATTGGGAGCACTCTAGGTGCCCCAGAGTAAGTTGTTCCTGTACCAACTGCTCTGCTGCTTTAAGCTTATCGGAGGGCAAAGGCCACTGAGGAACCCATACCGGTTCCTCCGTTTTCCAGTTGATGGGGATAGCTTCCTCAGTGGCCCCTATGAAAAACCCACCCCTTTTCGATCTAGCTTTTCCTTCAGGGTGACAGGGCTGGTACGTCCCTGCAGATTTTTTCCTAATCCATGTCCTGGGACGCATCCCATGTCCCTCATCATTTGCTGACTTTGAGGAGAATAGTCATTGGTAAGTGTAAATTTTAACTGCTGCAGTAAGTCTCTTCCCCAAAGATTAATGGGAAGAGGTAAGACAAAAGGTATAAGGGTTCCTCTCTGTCCTTCATCAGTCTCCCAGTGCAAGGGTCGAGCACTCAGTGATGGAGTATCCTCATATCCGAGGCCTGTTAAAGGCTGAGAGGATCGAGTAAGAGGCCATTTGGACGGCCACCAGTGTGCAGAAATTATGCTGGTGTCAGCCCCAGTATCTAATAATCCCTGGAACCTCTTTCCTTCTATGGATAAGGCTAACATGGGACGGTCTTGTAGGCCAAGGGACAGATAAGCATGTTGGCCTCCCGAAGAACCAAAACCCTTCTCCCCTCTAGTTACTCCCGTACTGGGAAAGTCTTGATGACAGCTGGGTAAAATTAGCAACTGGGCCACTCTATCCCCGGGGGATATCGCAGATATTCCCCGTGGGGAGGAGCAGAGTATTTGAATGGTGCCCGTGTAGTCTTGGTCCACAACTCCCGGATGAACCGTGAGTCCTTTCAGGGAGGCCGATGAACGGCCAATCACTAGCCCAACAGTGCCATCTGGGAGTGGGCCAGCAAGATCTGAAAGGATTGGTTGACATCCCATGACGGGAGTTAATACTGTTCTGGTGGTGGCACGCAGGTCCAGTCCTGCGGATCCATTGGTCGCCCTCCGGACCGAGGTGTCTTCACAGACCTTTGTGACTGGGAGAGACTCGCCCCTTTCAACGCCCCATAGATTTGTCCCGGGCCCTGGGGTCGAGGGCCCCTGTTCCCGTTTTTTGGCTGTGCAGCAGCTTGCTCTTGAAGGGGCTTCCCCTGGATATCTTTTACCGACCTGCATTCCCTCGCCCAATGTCTTCCCTTTCTGCATCTAGGACAGAGTCCTGGAGTCTTCCCTGGCCGGCCCGAGAAGGGCATTGCTGGCCCTCGACAGTCCTTTTTCATATGTCCCTTCCTGCCACATCTATAACATTTAAGTTCTGCAGCGTGCTGCGCCGCAAGGACCGCAGCTGCAAGACCCTGATTGGACAATGGCCCGCCTATTTCTCTGCATGCCTTCATCCATGCAGTGATACCCTTTCCTTTCCATGGGGTGATAGCAGCTCTACATTCTCTTGTGCTATTCTCAAAAATAAGTTGTTCTATAAGCGGCATGGCTCCCTCTGCATCATCAAAAATCCGACCTGCAGCCTGCATCATTCTCGCGACAAAGTCAGAGAAAGGCTCCGTAGGCCCCTGTATAATCTTAGTAAGATTCCCAGCAACCTGGCCCTTGTTGGGGAGGCTTTTCCAGGCCTTCACCGCAGCGTCATTGATCTGCTGATAGACTTCGACAGGGTACCCATTCTGATTATTAACAAATTGGCCCTGCCCCGTGAGCATGTCATAAGTCCAATGCGGTCGCTGATTATTGGCGTTCCGCTTTGCCTGTGTCATACATAAGTCTTGATATATGGACTTCCAGTCTAGATACTGTCCTGCCGTGAGGCAAGCTTTTATTGTGCTGTACCAGTCCTCAGGGGTCATGGCATCAGTGGCCAGTCTTTCTATTAGAGCTGTAGTGAACGAGGCGCTCACCCCGTAAGTCTGTACAGCCTCCACTAAAGTTTTCAACTTTTTTAAATCCAGAGGTGAATGGCCTCGCTGATTGTTGGCATCTTGCCACACAGGGAATGCTTGAGGGTAGGCATCATTTAGTTTCCTACGCTCCCTGGCTGACAGAAAAGTCGTCTTTCCCCCTCCGGGCGTGGGCCCGAAGACTTCCGCATACGGAGGTGCCGATGGCACCCCATGACCAGGGCTCCACCCCAAGGAATAGGGCGGCGTGGGGCCTTTACCGGCCCCCTTCCGGGTCTGAATTTCCTCTTGTGACTCAGAGGATTCATCGGAGTCCTCATGGGACTCTCTCTTCCCCTCTTCCTCCTCCTCCTCATCTGAAGAGGAGTCAAGGGTGAAATGCTTGAATTCATCAAGGAGTGGATAGATTCCTGTCCCCCCTATCGCTCCCTCCCGGGAGGGTGGTCTAGGTTTCTGTGCACATCTTGGGGGTAATGATAAGGCATTCTGGCTTTTACTTTTATCTTTCCTTTTTGGTTTCTGTATTTGGGACTTGTCTCCTTCTGTCCCTTCACCCCTTTCAGCTTCTGATAAACTATCCTGATGATCTATGAGTACTTTCTGCCCTTCCTTGATCTTCTCTCTGCACTTTTCATCCCCGATGCATGACTTGAGTAGTTTGTAAATCGGCCATGCACCCGCACGTAGCGTGCCTGCCTCTCGTTCCCTCGCTAAGTCTTTGCCCAGTTTGTTCCAAGAACCTTCGGTCAAGGAGCCTGAAACCATGAACCAAGGAGCCACACGATCCACCTCTTTCAGGAAGTTCCGCAGCACCCGGTCAGGGACCCTGAGGTCCTTCTGCTTAAGCAGCGCCTGCGCCGCTTCTACGAGAGTTTTACTGGGAGTATGGCCCATAACTCCTTTATCTACAGGAGGGGCTCTGGCTGCTCGGTTATCTATCCGAGCCTTAGCGCCGGTCCAATTAAGATCACAAAAGGGAGAAGTACAAACCTTACCCCGTTTCCCACAATTACAGAACAGACAACAACATAAGACGAAAACGAAACTAACAAAGAGAAACGGGACTACGTAGATCACAGGGAACATACCTTGCTGAAAGGTCTCCGGAGTTCTCCGCGCTGGCTTGAATCCTTCACCGACGAGCAGTCGGGGCCCTTCGTGTGGCTTCTCTGCCCAGGTTCGGCCTGTCCCGGGTTTCGACACCATTTGTCGCGCGCAGCCTTTGCCGAATAAGGATGACGCAACACAACGAGGATTTGTCCAGCGCAACTTTACTTGAAGCTCTCGAGTACAGATGGAGAAGGACCCCTAGCTCTGGGGACGCGCTGCTTATATAGCTCTCCCAGGGCGGTGTCCGTCTGCTATTGGATCTCTGCAGATCACCCTAGGGTGGGGGTATCTCTGATTGGAGACTATATTCAGTCTCAATTAGCATGTCGTGAGCGCATGCGTATGGATGAAGCCGAATCAGGCGAAGAACCAGAGGAAGCAGGAAACCGGCGCCATCTTGTAATGGCGGGGCGGCTCCCGACAATCTCCCACAATCAGTTTCTTGAAAATGATATAACATTCTTCTTTGTAGCTGAAAAAAATATCCTCTGTAAACCACTTTTTCCTTCTTTATTTCTCTCTTGTTAGACACCTGGTTCCATAATATACCTGTCATGGATTGTGCTGCACTGAACATGAATGTGTATATATGTGTCAATTTAGAGTCCTTTGGGTAAAAATTCAGGAGTAGTCTGGGCAAGGAGCTGTTGTGTTGACAAGCAGCCTGGGGCATAAGACTTCCCCAGAAGGAATCCCCTTCTTCCTGTGATATCACCTGGAAAAAGTGGTGAGCTTCTTCTGGTACCTTTGCAATCCTGGGGGAATCTTGGTGCCTTATCTAATCTCCAAGTTATGGCTGTGGAGGTCAGTGTCAGCCAAGGCTATTTGGCACCTATTAGTTCCCCATTCAAAGTGCTTTTCCAGACAAAGACCCCATAGTAGTCATGTGGAAAACCTTTTATAACTCTCTGAGAAATGTCAGACGGATGCCATAGTGGCTGAACTACTTTACAGTCTCACTAGTACTATGTAAGTGTTCCCTTTGACCACATCATCACCAGCATTTGTTGTTACTTATTTTCTTAATGACTACTAATCTGATAGAATCTCAGTGAAATTTTGATTTTAATTTCTCTGGTAGCTACTGAAATTTAATGTTTTTTGATATGTTTGTTGATCATTTGTAGTCTACCTTTTGAGAACTATCTGTTATTTCCTTACCCCATTTATTGATTTCTAAATTTTTATATGGTTTTTTGAGTTCTTTGAATGTATCAGATACCCATTTTCTCTCAAGTTTACAGCTTTCAGAATTTTTCTCTCATTCTGTAAGCAATCTCTTCACCTGACTGTTTCCTTTGGTGTGCAGAAGCTTTTATGAGGTTTTATGAGGTTCCATTGGTCATTCTTATACATGTAGATGTCCTGATTACTCAGCAACAATGTTGAAAAGACTCACTTTTCTCCAGTGTATAGTTTTGACATTTTTGTAAAAATTTAAGTGGCTGCGCCATGTTGGTTTGTATATGGGTCTTCAATTCTATTCAAGCAGCATATGTATCTGTTTCTATGCTAGCCCCATCCTCTTTTTATTACTATGACTCATAGTATAACTCAAAATCAGATATGGTGATATCATCAGCATTATTCTTTTTGCTCAGGACATTTTTGGTTATCTGGGATCTTTTGTGCTTCCATATGAGATTATATGTTTTTTCTCTGTGTTTCTGAAGAATAATAGCTTAAGAATTTTTATTGTGATTGAATCTGCACATCACATCTGATATGACAGACATTTTTACAGTATTAAATCTTCTAATTCAAAAACATGGGGAGTTCTTTTCATCTTATGGTGTTCTAGTCAATCTCTTTCTTCATGAAGATTACTTAGACTTCCTGAGTAGTCTTCCATAATTAAAACAAACTACATAATATAATATTTCTTTGAAATGTATTAACACAAAAGTAATAAAATCTAACCATAACATTTGCCATGGCATGTTACTACTGAAGGGGAGACCTTTCCCTGGCATTCCCAAGACCCTTGTTCAATCCCCAGAATCACAATTTAAAAAACAAAACAAAACAAACCCTAAACACTCAGTTCTGGATATTGAGGTAGTTTATATGGCAACTATAAATCCAAGACAAAGAGACTGATGATGGTCTGGTTCTTTCAGAACAATGACTCTTTAGACTTTTCTTCTCTTTGATGCCTTTATTAACCATTACAAAAAAGTTTCTGGGGTAAAAGCAGGAAATGCACATAAAATACAGAGGATACTGTTGGATATATGCTGTTGACTCAATGTATTTATTAAATCTGATTCTGATAAATATGATTTCAATCTTTGAAATTTTAACTTCTAAGTAAAGGTCCATACTCACTCCATGTTTTCTTATTCATGTAGTTTTTAAAAAAACCTTATTAAATAGCTTCTATGTGAGAGGAACAATGCTCAGAGCTTAGTTCGTACCCCCAAGTAAAGAAAGACATGCAAGACCAGCTAAGTTCTAATTTCTCTTAGAATGTAGAGGCTTCTATTTTCAAAGGGAAGACAAAACTCTGACAGTCACAAAAGAGACACACTCTAGTAAACCTTGTGAGATGTCAGTGGCATTTTAAAAACGTCACTCTGTTTGCTAACAAAGGAAAATGTTCAAGTAGTTCTTCCTGAGAATATTTTCCTCCAACTTCTCTATTGTGGATTAAAAAAACATTGTCACAAAGTTCTCTTACTGTAGACTTAATGTGTTTATTGTTCTGGTTTGCTGCCCCTACCATCCATTAATGGGGTTTATTGCCTTGTCATTTGAATCTGAGCTGGCTTACAACAGCTCTGAGAGCTAGAAGACAATCCCAGTGTCAAGCTGTAGCTTCACAGGCTAGACCTCAGACTTTGAGCTGTGGTTTAAATGGGTGCCTGAGATTTCATGTGTGTGAAACAATACAGAAAGCCATGTCAATGCTATTTG